GGGATTTCAGACAGAAAATGAACAGGCAGAGGGAGGCACAGGAGTAAAGCAAAGGAAGCCTCCACCTTAGTGTCTGCAAGGACTCTGATCATAAGGGAACAATCCATCCCCAGATAATCTCAAGATCAGGATTTTTTAAATTATTATTCATACATTAAATCACTATACATCATTTAGATTGTGAAGAGACTTCACTGCAGCCTTATTCACAATTGCTAAGACATGGAACCAACCCAGATGTCCATAAACAGATGAATGGAAGATCAAGATTGGAAGACACTAAGTACCATGTAAAGAGTGTGAGATCTGGGATTAAAAATGAAGGGTTTGGGGACAGCAGGTGTGGTGGCTGAGGTGGCTGGATCCCACACTGCCAACTATACGGTTTGAGTCCTTAATCCAGCAGACTGAAAAACATGCCAGGTGCATGCATGTGTGTGCCCAAAATCTCAACAGGAGAACGAAAGAGAAGGGACTGAGGTGTGGTCATCACCCCTGGTGAGTGTTTTCTCACTTTCTCTCTCTTTCTGTCTCTCTCTCTTTTATGAGTGCATGTGCCCTACAGCAAACTGGAAAAAAAAAAAAGTGAAGAGTTCATTTGAAAATTTCTAAATGAAGTAGGTGAGCTCTAGGACTATTTCCTTATCACTAGTATGCCAGCCCTACTCCAATAAAACCAAAAACAAAACCAAAAGCAAAACACAAAAACCTATGGAACATCTTTAAAGATACTAAGACTTCTGGGCAGACTGAATTTGAGATATCAAAGGGACAGTCACATAGAAATGTCTGGCATATTGATAATCAACTCTGGATCCTAACAGGGATATCAGGTAGAGATCACTGAATATGGTCAGCAAGCGGCGCTGGGGACCTGGATGCACTGGTTTCAGGGGACAGCTTTCACGCAGCAGCAACTATGATGCAGCACTGGTAACGTGTGTCAGACACTGTGCAAGGTTTCCCTTGACTGAGGGAGTCAGCGGGAGGGCAGGAGTCAGGTTAGACAGCGTTAAGGGTGGAACACTACTTAGGAAAGTTTCCATAAAAAATTTTTAGATAAAAGGTTAAGTGTAAATTAGGAGTCATAGAGTGAAAGGAAAGGAAATCAGACCTACAAAAAAAAAAAAAAAAGTCTTTACATATTTAGAAACAGGGAAACCTGGGAAGCCATTCAAGAGAAGGTACAAAGTAAGGACCCTAAAAAAATGTAGGGAGCAGGGGTGGGGACTTACAGGTGTTTAGCATTGGAAGGGAAAAAAGGACGAATATTCCTCTGAAATAGGTAGAAGGGGGCAAGGTATTAACGATGTGCCTTCCCTCCTAATAAAAGTGGATGCAAACGCAGCAAGAGTCTACAAAGATATGAGCTAATAGGAGAAAGTGGATTAAATATCTAGAAGCTTCTCTAGTAAGCTATACAACCTGATTGATATAAATGAAATATATATTCTAGAGGAAGAATAGATCCAAGTGTGAGAAGTAGCAACTGATGTTATCAAAACAGCAACATTTATGAATCAAATAAGTGGTATTTTAAGAATCAAGAACTTAACGATGTCCAAAGATAATACAAAATATAGCCTCTACTGCCTGTTAAATATTATTGATTTTTGTAACCCACACTTGTTTCATCACTGATAATCTTTGAATTTCTTGATTTGGTATCCGAAGGTCAAATACTCGCAAAAGAAGACATGCATATAAGAATATGTTTATTGAACCTGCCATGATTCAGACTCTAGAGGAAAATGCTGCACATTTTTTTTTCCTATCACAGAGGGCATTATAAAGTTCAGGTTAACGAAATGGAAGCATGGCGAGAAACATCAAACTACAGTGCAGTGCTGTGTTTCAGAAAACAATTCATTAGAAAGAAAACAAATGACATGCTGTATACTCTTGTTAAGTGAAAAATTGTCAACTGAGGTTGTTTAAAATAGCAAGATTATAAATATTGTTGCTAGCCTTTTTTCTTTCTTTCTTTTCCTTCTTTCTTTTTCTTTTTAAAAGGTAAGAGACCATCTGTGGTGTTGTTAAAATATTGGGAAAAGCCACGGCACATTTTTTATAGAAAAATACATCAAGACTTTTCCGATGACCCAATATACATGGGTGCAGTAGCCCTTACCTAAAATGTTTGAAAGCAAAAACATTTCAAATTTTGAAATATTTGGGACATTTGCTTATACATAATGAGATATTTTGGGGCTGGGACCCAAATTTAAACACAAAATGTATTTATGTTTCATATATACCTTATACACACAGCCTGAGGGTAGTTTTATACTGTACATCAATTTTGAATTGCTGTGTTTTGTTTTATTTTTATTCATGATAGAGCACATGTGGAAAGAAAACAAATGACATGCTGTATACTCTTGTTAAGTGAAAAATTGTCAACTGAGGTTGTTTAAAATAGCAAGATTATAAATATTGTTGCTAGCCTTTTTTCTTTCTTTCTTTTCCTTCTTTCTTTTTCTTTTTAAAAGGTAAGAGACCATCTGTGGTGTTGTTAAAATATTGGGAAAAGCCACGGCACATTTTTTATAGAAAAATACATCAAGACTTTTCCGATGACCCAATATACATGGGTGCAGTAGCCCTTACCTAAAATGTTTGAAAGCAAAAACATTTCAAATTTTGAAATATTTGGGACATTTGCTTATACATAATGAGATATTTTGGGGCTGGGACCCAAATTTAAACACAAAATGTATTTATGTTTCATATATACCTTATACACACAGCCTGAGGGTAGTTTTATACTGTACATCAATTTTGAATTGCTGTGTTTTGTTTTATTTTTATTCATGATAGAGCACATGTGTGCTCAAGAGAAAGAGAAGGAAGCACCCTCTCCATAGGGCTCAGTCACACTGCAATCCTCTTCCTCTAGTCTGCCACAATTCTGGACATGTAGCATATGCATGGCAGTGCCAGGAATTTGAACTGTGGTTGACAAGTGGCTTCCAGCTCTGACTGTACCACAGGGGCTTGGCCTATTGCAGTGTTTTTGACTAAAAACCATCATATTAAGTAAGGTGTGGAACTTTTCACTGTGGCCTCATGTTGACACTCAACAAAATTTGAAATTTGAAGCATTTTTTATTTCAGATATTTGGAGTAGGAATGTTCAACCTTTATTTGTTTTGATGCCTGGTAGTAGTGGCTCCTGAACAAATGGGTCTGTATGGCTAAGGTGAAGAAAGCCTACCAACAGTTTCTTGGCGGGGGAGGGGTACAAGTGCCAAAATGATCAGGGTATCCCTGGGAAAGGGCAGTATCCTTTCTATCATGAGCTCACTGAAGAGCCCATATATAAGTAACCCTATTGGCAACAAATCATAAGAAAAACAGTCTCATAGCTGTGAGTTGTACCTACTTAGGGGTGCAATCCTCAAAATATTCCGGATATTCAAACTAAAACATTAAGAATAGATTTTTTTTTTTTAGAGATTTTCACTGTAGGGCGCGTGCGCTCGCCAGACAGAGAGAGACATAGAGACAGAAAGCGAGAAATCACCCCCCAGGGGGGATGGTCACGCCGCAATCCCTTCTCCTCCATTCTCCTCTCGGGATCTTGGGCACGCACGCACACGCGCCTGGCGTGAGTTTTTAAGCCACCGGGTCCGGGACACGAACCACGGTCGACTACGTGGGAGTCCAGCGACATAGCCATTACGCTAACTGCTGGTTCCCAAGAATAGATTTTTAAAAGATTGCTTGTATGAACCCATGTATTAAAAATAGATATAAAGATTATTAGCATGAAGGCCCAGCCGCTGTATTTGCCACCTTGCATATTTACTGAATCCACAAAGACATGACTTTCTGAAGCAAATTTTTGCAGGTGGAAAGCAAGACTATTAAAATTAAAATGCCAAATTTAACCACGTTTGAAGACTGAAGATTTTTATTTATTTATTTATTTATTTTATGAAGGCATAGCTGAAATAGTAGACCACAGGCATAGCCTGAGTAGAGAAACAAGTAGAGACCAAGAGAAGGGGAGGAAACAAAAAAAAAAAAAAAAAAAAAGGCAGCAAGGATTGGTAAAGGGCAAGAGTGGGGAAATGGCCCAGCCTAGTGGTATGACTGCAGTGCGCTGAACTACAGTGTTGGAAGCCATAGGGCAGACCACAGATTCAGATCTCCAGCTGATAGACCTGATGCCTTAAAGGTATACATGTACTTAAGATCCTGACAAGCTAGAGAACTGGGAGGAGGGAGTTGCTGCTTGACCAGATACTATCAAGACACTCCCTCTCCCTCTCCCTGTCTTTCTGTCTCCCTCATGCTCTCTATCATGAATTTAAAAAAAAAAAAAAAGGTAAAATGTAAGCAACTGGGACCAAAAGCCATAATTGCTGGGCAGTTGTCCAAAACATGATTAGATACCCAACAATATAAACATCTAATTTCTAGAAAATCACATATACATAAAAGAAAGGTGGCAAAGTTGTGACTTTCAAGGATTTCCAACTACTTATCAATAACTACCTAGGTAGGCGTGTAGTTTACACACTTTCCGTGCTTGTCCTATAGAACCTAAGAAGAACAGTCTTCATGTGCAGTGACCAACACACCCACCACACACACACACACACACAAGCACTATTAGTTCGTGCAGGATGTCAGAAAATATGACATAAATCTAAGAATATCAGAGAGAAAAGAGATCACAGGGGCCTTGAGACCTGACTTAAAGATTAGAAAACTAAAGTATAAAGTTGTTAAATGGCTCCACTGAAGCCACATAGCTGGGAACTGGCAGAGCTGAGACCAGCACTCTCTAAACTCCCTTCTTGATTTTCAGTTCTGTCCAGCCCCGTACCACCCCATGATGCAAATGTCCAACAAAGCTGGGAGGGATTTCTACGTAAAGAAATACTATGGTGGTCTGCTTGAAACGTAAAATAAGGATGACAATCTAAAAGAAAGGATGTAGAGTAATTACACATAATGCTTGATTAAAAAATAATAATGTAAAACTATACCTTTACTGTGTCTGATGAGAGTGCATTTTCCTTTTTCTGACTTGTGCTCATGGGCTCATTTTCAACACTGAAAAATAAAAATCACAGTTTATTTTGAAATTGAAACAGAATTACTAAACTCATACGGCTTTTATATTTCATCCCCCAAAAAGTGCAAGGGCCTTTATCTTCAGTCCTCAAGGATTTACATATAAAATGCTATACTAAGACTGTTGACTTGAGACCAGCAGATGGTGTAATGGTTATATCGCTAGACTCCCACATAGTGGACAGCTCAAATCCTGGACGTGGTGGCTTGAAACTCATGCCGGGCACATATGCATATATGCCCAAAATTCTAAGGGGAGAACAGAGGAGAAGGGATTGTGGTGTAGCCATCCTCCTAACCCCTGGGGGTAGGGGAACTTCTCACTGTCTGTCTCTCTTGACCTATAGCAAAAACCTCTGGGGGGGGTAAAAAAAAAAAGGAACAAGAAAGAAAGAATGTGTTGACTTGAATCTCTAAACTTGAAAAACACATTCAAGAATATTTGCTCAGGCTTCAGAAATGTCTGTGAATTTACTGTGCTTCATAATTTCTTACACTGGTAATCAGCACCACAGTAATGATGCACCTGAACAAAGAAACACCAGTGTACACCTATTATACCCTTGGAAAGTGCTAGCACACTAAGATTTTATTTATGTTAAAATTCTCCACAGCCTCCTTTTTAAAATGCCTATGCTGTGTATTATTTGGACACAATGCATTTCTACTCGGCAAATCAGTTTGGACATATAGGTTCATCTAGTGAATACTCAAAAAATATTGCATGCTTATTCAGCCCCAAATGTGTCCCAGATGGTGCTTTAAGAACCCGATTTTCCATTTAGTCACTTTTAATTGTCTTTTGTCTGGAATATTTTCCAGATGCCTTATGAGATGTCATAATAAACTATTTTGTCTATCAGACACATAGAGATTTTTGATATAAAATATTTATATCTCTGTGTTTATACATTGTCTTGTTTTCATACTTTCATAACTCTAGAGAAAATTAAGAGCTCTAAAGATTATCATGACTATTGCTTGCCAGGGATTGTGTTTGGTCATAAAGATACAAAAACAACTAAGTTGATGTCTTGGCAAAACTCAGTCTACTTGAGGAGATTGATACGCAACTTTAACAATACAGTTCAGCACAGATTTTAACTGCTGAATGAGCAAAATGCCAAGGCACATACAGGAAACAGGAAGGACGGATTCTGCCTGCTCAGTCCCCTCAGAGGAGGTACAAAGGTGGGGAAAATAAAGAGCATGGCATTTTTAGGAAACCCTGCTTTGTTGGCTTTTAATATAAGACTGGAGCAAAGAGCCTGTGACAGGAAGAGGTAATGCGGCAAGAGATGAAAACGAGACTAGAGGTTAGTGGGTGCTCATCTCTGAAGAACTGGCCCAACCCGTTAGAGAACGTGATCTCTCCTACATGCAATGGGAAGCCTTTAGAGCCTTCAGGCATAAGCAGGACAACTGAGAGTGGCTCAGACACAGAATCCCAGTCGCTGGAGGCAAAGGAACCAGAAAAGTAGTAGTTGTCAATAGCTCAGGTGAGATAAAGGCCAATCCCAGAGCAGAGGGCATAGAAAGAAATGACACAATTTATTGCAATTTGAGATTTTTGATCCAGAAGATCCAATGATCTTATGTAGAATATCCAAAGGATAAATGGTGACAGTTGAAAGAAAGGAACAGAAGATGAACTATGAACACCTGGAAAACACAGTGGATTAACATTTCATTAAGTCCCAGACACTATTTACAACACATGGACCAATGAGCTACAGCCATGCTCTTAGATCGTTTAAGTGACAATTTAAAAAGTAAACATGTCAAAAAGAAATATTACTGACCTTGATGATTTGTAAGTGAACTCTCTAAGTATAATCATTTTTTAACTACCTGAAAACTACGTGAACATACAACAACCCTGTAATTTCAGTTTCCTAGTTCTTGCTTCGTGACTCCTAAAATGCTACTTTATAGTGTTTACAGGACTTTTGATAAACATACTGCCTTACACTGTAAATAAAAGTGGATACTTCTTTTTTTCCTAGTACAAAAAATAAAAATTAAAAAAACTGCAGAAATATAGCTCTGAGCTCATGGAATTAAGGGTACAAAAAATAAAAATAAAAAAAAAAACTTCAGAAATATAGCTCTGAGCTCATGGAATTAAGCAGAATCCAGTCTTTTCACACAATTGTTAATTACTTCCAAGTGCACGTTATACACACGCACATCACAATGCCACAAAAAGTCGTAAATCAGCACATAAGTACTGAGCAAACAATGAAAAGTCTAAAGTTGAAATTACCCAAAGAAATATTACTTGATACTTATTAAAACTTTGTGAAACTGTGTTTAAAGGCCATATTCTTATTGCTAAACCAAAGCTTTAAGATACGCTAAATTTTAAAGCGAACATTGTATTTTTAAATTTTGGTGTAAGCAATAAAAATCACTGGTTTAACTAAAGGTTTCACTGCTTCATCTCTAGAGTATTAAAGTCTCTTTTTCATTAGTGTCTCATATCTTTCCAATGGCTCGGCTTCAATCCTTTCTTCATATGGCTGTCAAAGTGACCGTTAGTAAGATCATGTCTCTCTCCTGTTTAAATATCCTTTAACAAACTCTAGCATTTGATGAATGAAATAAAGAGTCCCTAAACTGACACAGAATGTTATTCACGACCAGGACCAGTAGATGGTGGAATTGTTATATTGCTGGACTCCAATGTAGTCCACCACAGTTCGAGACACGGACCCAGAGGCTTAAAACTCACACCAGGTGCATGTGCCCACATGCCCATGATCCCAAGAGGAGAATGGAAAAGAAGGGATCGTAACATGGCCATCCCCCCTAGGGGGTGTTTCTTCTGTCTGTTTCTCTGGCAAGCACAGGCGACCTATAGCAAAAATCTTTTAAAAAAAAGAAAGTTATTCCTGACCAGGCTCCAGACACACCTGCAACCTGAACCATGTCACATTGCTAGAAGAGGCCAAGTACATGCCAGCAAACCACATTCTTCTGCTACAACACCTTCCCCGCCCGCCCCCAATTCTTTTTTTTTTTTTTTGAAGAGGTTTTTGCCAAAGGGGGGGGGCCTTCACCAGAAAGACAGAGAAACAGAAAGCTAGAAATCACCCCCCAGGGGGGATGGCCAGGCCACAATCCCATCTCCTCCATTCTCCTCTCAGGATCTTGGGCATGAACGCACACGGACCCGGCGTGAGTTGTAGCTGGGTCCGGGATGCGAACCGTGGTCGACTACGTGGGATTCCAACCACATAGCCATTACGCTAACTGCTGGTCCCTCCCAGCTAACTCTTAAACCTTCAACAGTTTTGCTCTAGCTTTGGCTGTCTCATTTTATGTTTCCACTGGTATCTCTCATTCATTTATAACCCCATCTCTCCCCCCCCCTTTTTTTGACAGAGAGGTGTGTGCTCACCAGAGAGAGAAAGAGAGAAAGAGAGAAAGAACACACTCTCAATAGGTTGTCTATTTTTGGTCCTTTTTCCTCCATTTCTCATCCCATCAAGATTTGGGGCAAACAATCTATTTGTTTTTCAAGCCACCAGTGCTGGGAATTAAGCCACAGTTGGCCATGCAGGATCCAGCTCACTATGCACAGCTCTTAAACTCTGTGCTATGGGGGCAGCCCCGTTTACCATTCTTTACTGTAACACCTGGTTGTTCATTTGCCCAATTACACAATATGTGCTTGTTAAACTCAGAAAATGTATTATACATAGCTGTCCCAGAGCCTAGCATGTTGCCTGACACTGTGGTGACACTCAAATTGTTATCTACAATGTTAAAAATAACAACAACAAAAGAAACCCTATCACAGCTTTTCCACTTGTGCCTGCTTACTTCCCTCATCTACTGTCCCATCAGGAGCAATACAATAGTACGTATTAGTTTTTTTATTTTTTAGCAAGGTAGTATGCAAGCTTCTTGAAAGAACACAGCACCCATTTCTATTCTGCATCATTTTTCTCGAGAAGCATAAAAGGAATGGGATGGTGGACAAAAATGACTTGACAAGGAGGTCATCTCAGTTTAAAAGAAAAAGCTAGTGTACAGTAGCTTAAGATACTTGAAATACTGGCTACTGAGATGTCTACTTATTAAAAATAAATTTAAAGGTTTTCAAAAGACTTGGAGTGGTACGTTTGTACTGAAAAATAGGAGGGAAGAAGAAACATATTCACCTCAAACTTCATGAAAGACCAGAACCCATTTCTTTGGTCTGCTCGCAATTTAACCCTTTTTGTAGGCCAGGGATATTTCAATATTTTCAGAAAGAACACATTTTATTCATGGCAGGAGGTTGGGGGCAAGAATCATAACCACACACAGACACAAATTAAACTACCTTACGTTTCTAAATAGCCTCATCTTACTTTGCTAACAGGAATTTGGAAATTAATCTCTCAAGTAGACCTAACACAAAGGTCAATGTAATACTGCAGCTCCTCATTTTTGAAGCTACCTTATTTGGACTGTAGCAGAAAACCAGGAATTCATCATATAGCTATTAGCCATCTACTTACTTTATGCCAGACATAAAATATTCTCTGCCATGAGAATAAACTGGACCAGTAATATCCTAAAGCACACAGAAATTATATAGAGAGCCTCTAACCTGTTACTTACAATATCTTATATTCTACTGTGTCGTAAAATTAAAATCTAATGGGACCAGCAGATGGTGTAATGGTTATGTTGCTGGATTTACACATAGTGGACCGCGGTTCGAGTCCTGGACCTGGTGGCTTAAAACTCATGCCAGGCATGTGTGCGTGCACTCTCAAGATCCCGAGAGGAGGATGAAGGAGAAGGGATCACAGTGTAGCTATCCTCTGTAGGGGATAATTTCTCACTTTCTGTCTCTCCATCTTTCTCCTTGTCTCTCCAGTAAGTGCACGTGCCCAAATCTCTCTAAAAAATTGGTTAATTGATTAGTTTATTAATTAACTAATTAATTAATTAAACCTAACAGGATTCCCTAGACCATAGCAGAAAACTGAGCCAAGAACTCACCTGACAGATGGTGTAACACACACTGTACGTGCTTGGTGCTGGGAGGACAACAAGGAGCCAACCAGACAAAGTTCTTGCCTTCCTCCTTCGGAACCTCTGTCTATATGCATCAGAGTCACCCAGGCAACTGAGCTTCTGAAACGGATTTCTGGGCCTGATTGTCACAGAACCACTTGCAGGGGGGACCCAGGAATCCACATCTTCCATAACCACTCTCCTACATCCCCAGGTTTTCCTAATGCAAGTTTGATATGCTAGGTCTGAGAATCTCTCTAGAATCAGCTGAGTCCACACCTAGTAGTTGTACAGGGAATTAAAGATCTTCCCAGGAAGATCTATACTTAACATTATTTAAAAGTGTTAAGTGCTGATACTTAGAGACTAGGTACCAATTATTTAGAACCCTTGCTCATATAGCCTGTTTTCCATTTCCCAAGCAGAGCCCCTGGCCCCAGCGAAGAGATGCTGTCCTGATGGGCTCACAGAGCATCACAGTGCAGTCACCATACTGCCGTCCCCAGGCCCTCCAAGGAGGGTTCACCTCCTTCCTCTCTGTCCACCTGGCCTCTCCCTGAAGTAATCTTCCCATTGCCGTCCCCAGGCCCTCCGCTGAGGGCTCACCTCCTTCCTCTGTCCACCTGGCCTCTCCCTGAAGTAATCTTCCCATTGCCATCCCCAGGCCCTCCGCTGAGGGCTCGCCTCCTTCCTCTGTCCACCTGGCCTCTCCCTGAAGTAATCTTCCCATTGCCGTCCCCAGGCCCTCCGCTGAGGGCTCACCTCCTTCCTCTGTCCACCTGGCCTCTCCCTGAAGTAATCTTCCCATTGCCGTCCCCAGGCCCTCCGCTGAGGGCTCACCTCCTTCCTCTGTCCACCTGGCCTCTCCCTGTAGTAATCTTCCCATTGCCATCCCCAGGCCCTCCGCTGAGGGTTCATCTCCTTCCTCTGTCCACCTAGCCTCTCCCTGTAGTAATCTTGCCACTCTAGAGTTCCACTTAGCATCACGCAGGGTATGGACTGCAGTAAAGGAACCGCAATACTGCTGATGAAAGGAAAAGAGAACAAATCTCCTATCG